GCTGCTCCGTAACGAGGTGGGCTGTGACTTGCCTTCCCCTGAACCGCAAAATGTAGTGTCATTTGGCAAACGGTCTCAGGATTGCGGTGAATCTCTCAAACCATGTGCGTTTAACAGGTGCATGAGTGGTGGTGCGCGACTGTTGCCTGCTGGAGGGCCCTGAATGGGGTAGGATATATAAATGACCTGTTTGCCAGTAGTTTTAGCATCTGGCTAGGGTTAGTTGTTCAGCCAGCTGATTCCCGGTTCCTTCTTATAATGCTATATCTTTAAGCAATGGTTACGTGCCTGGAAGCTGAGGAGCATTTTGGACTCTGGCCTTGCAAATACCGCTTGTTAACTGAAGTTACGCTGACTGTCAGGGCTGCCTTTTAAACACTTCTGCTGTCTATCCTCCAAACCATCTATTAAAGCCTCCCTGCCTTCTCCTTGATTGCAGCTAAAGCACTGCCTGCAGTCGGCCTCTGGCGCCCGCCCTGTTAGTCGGAGACAGAGGTTCATCCGCCAAGCGGTGGCTGCTGGCACACACCTTTGTCACCTGTAGCTGCTCCTCTTGCCGTGACGGGCTCTTCCCTCATCGTGCTGAGAGCTTTTCCAATTTGAAGTGAACATCGAAGGGGCTGGATTCGTTGTTTGGTGTCGGGAGGAAACTCTTTGCCGGTGCGTGCGCTTCAGCCAGCTGCAGAGGTTTGACAGCTTTGGCTGTCTTGATCAGACAGACCTCCAGATCATCTGGCGAGTCTCTTGATGATGAGGGTGGGAAACAATGTGCTTTGATTTGGAGATGTGCTCCTGTGAGGTCTCTGGCAGTACCTGCATATACTTGGCATCCTTAATTTCCAAATTTTGGGCAGAGCATGCAATTGCTTACACTTACAACGTGCACAACCATTGTGCAGACAGTGGAGATCCTGGCCAAGTTAAAGGACTTGACATGATGTAGTCCTTCGTGTTTGCTTAGTGACAGAAGAGTCTTTGAAGTTTACAGTAAAAAAGACGATAAGAGAGGGTATTGCTACAGCTCTAATTTTACGGGGAGTGCTGAAAAAGGGGAAGGGATGAAGCAGTTTGTTCCAGGCTGTATAGGAGTTCACATAGATGTGTATGTATCTATACACACGTGGAGACAGTATGGTCTTGTCTCAGAGTTTGGTACTGTACTGGGATTTCCTTAATCTGTTCCACGCTTTATCTGCAAGTCCTGATCTCCTCCTGCCTGCTTCGTCTTCAGAATTACTGTAAAGCCTGAAAACACTAGGAAAAATGAGGCGGAGCATCCAGACAGAAGGCCTCTGGGTTTCTTTTGAATAATATCCTCTAAATGCCTTTTTCTCTTCTCCCTTAGGTAGTGGTAGGCAACCTGGAAACCCTTTTCCTGTGTCTGTACAGTGGAGAGGGGAAAGGGGTGCGGCGTGCATGCATTTCTCACCTCCATAGCTCGTGGCAGCTGCCCTGGTAAGGGTGCACCAGTAGCAGTGATTGAAATATTTGTAAAGGATGTTGAAGGTGTGTGTGTGTGTGTGTGTTTGTGGGTTTTTTTCTCCTCTCCTTTGAGTACATATGCTCTTTTGGTGAGAGACTGACTGGCAGATATGCAGAGGATTAGCAAATGGTTTCGCAACCCCCTAAAGTTGTCAGAAGCTGAAAAAAGGTCTCTCTGTCCTGGCTGTGTGGTAGACCAGATTGGGAACTGATTGGATTGAATCTAAGGTGTTTTTTGTTTGCTGGGCAAGTTCTAACCTCAGTTTGCTGGGCAGACGCACCACGCTCCTGCTGAATAAGGAAGAGGAGGAGAGCAGAGGTGACCCGGAGGTAGGAGTACTCCTGAAGGCAGTGCGGGCTTACGTTGGCTTGAAGTGGTAATGAACTGATGGAGTTAGCTTCTTTGCTGTTTAAGGTGAGGATGGTATTTGAGAGGGAGACACTTTGGTTGGGATTTTTTTATAGAGATGTAGCTAAGCTGTTTCCTTCCCCCCCACCCCCCCCACCCCACCCCAATGGTGAGGTTTGCTTTTATAGCCAGTGCAGAAAAAACCAGGTGTTTTTAAAGCAGAATTCATCTTGTCCTAAGTAGACATCTTGAACCAATCAAGTGTCACGTGCCCTGGAAGTGTCTGCTGCTTTTGCTAGCTATAGAGAGCTGAGTCAGGTAGCTTAGATGTAATGTCCGCATTGCTTACGTCTAGAATTGGGTGGCTTGAATTGGGTGGCCCCCCCCTTGGGGCTCAGTGGGTTGGCAGAGTAGGACCAGCGGGGCTGTTGCTGAAGAGAGAGAAAAACGTTCAGAAGTGGAATGGCCCCGAAGAGGGAAAACCGAAAGGCTAGGGTGGTCGTGGCCAACCATGACATCTCACGCACTGAAAACTGCCTTATTCAAGGCAAAGCCTTGGGTGCTGGTTAACTTGGGAGACTGTATGAGGTCTTCTTAGTGGCATCTTTCCCCCTCTCAGAAGAGGGAAGAGATGATGTGACCTCTGGACAAGGTTCCACCATCGGGTTTGAAGGATGTTTCTCTTGCATGCTGGCCGTTTTAATGAGAGTCACCATGTGCCCTAACTGAAGGTGCTACAAATAGCTACAGAGAAAGGTGGAGGGCTTTTTTCACCTCTCCTGGCTCTGATAGGACTGGCCATTTCTTTAGCTGGGATCCATTCACGCGGGAACGTGCAGCTCGATGGGGAGACGTACTGGCAGCAAGCTCCAAGGGGGACTTAATGCACCAGCAAGCGGGAGAGCGAGGTTAAGTAAAGGGGCTTTTCCCACCGCTTCTCCTATCTGTGGTCAGATGTGCGTAGCTGGAGGAAATTGCACCAAAGAGCTTTTCGTTGTAACTCTCCAACTTGAGCCTAGATTGTACAAAGCAAACCCCCCAAGCCTGTGAAGGGGGTTTTGTGGAGAAATAAAGCTCGTTGTCCGCTGCGGTGTTCAGACCCTTGGGAAATCGTGACCGTTGTTTGGGCTATTATCGCTTAATGAAAGCTTCGCTTCTCCTCATTCAGCGTCCTGCAAATCTGCTTCTGTGCTCTTAAAAATAACCCAGCGTGAGCCACCATGATTGGGAGCATTCGCAGAGGAAATTCTTCAGCAGTTTAAAACAAAGTGAGGTTGGGAGGGGGAAGCGCTTGAAGCGCTTTTACTTGTCTTTTTTTTTCGAGCCCAGTGGGGAGCCAGGCCTCGCACCGACTGCCGCGAGCGTGTCCTCCTGGGACAGACGAAACGGTGCAGCTCTCCCGGAGGAGTATTTTTGGATGGTCGTATTCTCTGGTGTGCGCTGATGGGGTTGGCCCGTTGTGTCCTCGATGTCAAAGGGAGAAAGCAGTTTTCCAGGGTTTTCTTTCTACCTATTTGTAATGGAGGCTGCTCCAGGAAAGTTAACTCATGTGAGCTGGAAGTGAGCCTTAGACCAAAGGATATGGAGTGTTTTGGGTGCTGCTGCGTTGGGGTGCAGGTTCAGCACTGGCTTCTGGGTGCTGCCTCAGGGCAGATATTGGCGCAGGACGCGATGGGAATATCTGCGTTGCTTATTTCTTACGTTCTGGCTCTGACTACGAGGAGGAAAAGTATTCATGTTTTAGTTTGCCTTTTTCTTTTTTTTTTTTTTCCCCCCCCTACAGTGAGCAGCGCAGTTTCTGCAGTTGAAAAGTCCTGGCCAGCAGTTGCTGCCCACGTAGAGCACAGAAACGTATGTTTAGCGGTCGAGAGGCATGTTTGCTCAGGGTGTGCCCTCGTTTCGTTCAGTGCAAGCGTCTGCACGTACGGCTGGACTTTTAAGCTTTGCTCCTCTTTGCCGCTGAGCGGTGGAAGCATCGTTTACATTAGTAATTTGTGCTTTATGCAGGCCAGAATACGTTGACGCTTGGAGTAGGTTTTGAAGTAAGTTTGGAGCTTGGCATTGCTCGGAGGCCACCGGCTGAGGAGGGAGCTGCCTGGGGTGACGCTGGGCTGCAGCAGGGCAGTAGAAGATACCTGGCAGTTGAGAGGCTGAAGACTGGGGTCTCGGCTCAGTTTCGCCACGGAGATCATAAATGAGTTTTTGGCAGGTTATTCCTCTTCCGTGCCTCAGTTTCTCCACTGGAAAATAAATACAGCATGAGTTGGCTTTTCCTTGCAGCGAACGGCTTGCAAACTTGTCAGGCTCCACGTGACGAAGTCAGAAACCTGACCGAGTAATACAAGCATTGGAGAAATGCTTTACCTGGGGTCTGTAAGGTGTGGTGAGATCCAGCACAAGAGAGCTGCTGAAAGCCTCACGTTCATGTGTTTTCAAGCTGTGTCCAAGCAAGTGTTGAGATGCCTTGATAGGGCATGATGCAGTAGCTGGATGTGCCTACGGACAGGGCTGAGAGCGATCCCTTTTCCTTGAAAAGGAGAGGAAGGATTTGTGAGTATCTGCACGTTTGTTAGCAGCAAGCAAGAGCTGTTACTTTTTTTTTTTTTCCTTCCCTTACTCTTATTCTCTTCTTTTAGCATCTGTGATATGCACAGACATACGCTGTCTGTGGATGGGAGAAAGACATAGTCCTGCGGTAGCTAGAGCCTGTCACTCCCTAGCGCTGATTGATGGTACTTGCAATTTTTAAAGGTCCTCACGTGCATCATTAAATTGATTTCTGTGCCTGTTTTTGGAGAATCTGCTGCGTCTATTTTAGCTGATATCCATATGACTTGTCCAGGACCATATGTTAAGAATATAACTGTTTTTTTTCTTTGGGGGAGGGGGGTAACATTTATGTCTAAATATAGCTAATAAAAATGCAGACCGGAGCTCCTTAATGAGGCAATAAGTCATTCCTGCCTCTCTCCTTTTTAAAATGAAGCCACCTCCTGCACTGGCTTCTTTTTTGCGCGGCCTCCTGCTTTGCATTTCTACACATTCATCATGGCATGAAGGCGCTCACAAAAGGCAGGAAGAAAAGGCTGTGCTGAACTGACCAGTTTGGCTTGCGTGAACCTGGACGCTTGCAAAGGGAAAACCCTCGGCTTTGGCTGGGGAAAGCGCAGGCTGCGTGTGACCGCATGGAAAGCGTGTTTTATAAAATATACTGCCGTGCAACTTCAACATGGTCTTGAATTTCAGGATGAAGACGGGGAGCTATCAGGAAGCTGTTTGCAAGAGGAAATACTTCCAATTTTCTTCCTTCCCATCGCAAAATCCCTCCATGCAAGGGTTTGTGTGGTTGTCTGATGTTTCTGCCTTGTCGGGGGAAATCTTTTTATTGCTAGCACCTAACTTCTTGGCTGAGTTGGTGGCTGAGGTTGTGTGCAGCACCGGGCGAGTGGTGGCAGAGGCAACAGCAGCGCTGCTGGCGCTGGGGTATGCCGTTTCCTGGAGGAAATAGCTTTGCTAAAGAAACAACTCTGGTTTTCAAAGGTATTTTAGCTGTGACCGGGCGTGCTGCAGCAGCAAATGTACCGCGGTTGCGGTTTGACAGCTGAAGGCGGCAAACAACTGCTAAATCGGATTACGTTGCGCACGGTGGCTGCGTGTGAAATCCCTGGCGGCCGCGTGGCACCGGTTGTACAACGCGTTTTCCGGAGCGGCGCAGTCGGCTGCGTGCTCCTTCGTGTCCCGGGGCTGCTGCTGCGCCAGGGCGCCCGTTTGCGGGGTTGCCCCGCGAGCCGCCCTGCTGAAACGGCTGAGGTGGCACAGGGAAGGGAGGGGGGTTTTCTT